AAGAGAGCTGCTCCTGTGCCCGGCACGGGACTTGCTCACAGCAGCCACCAGGGCAGACATGGCTCCACCTCCCGGAGCTAATGGGCCACTTCCCTTGATCCTCACCAACCTGGGAGGGAAGTGCCATTATTCTCACTTGACAGATGAAAAAAATCATGTGGAGCTAAGAAAGCTGAAATAATTTGTCCCCAGGCTGCAGAACCGGGACAAGTAGGGAATCGAGTCTGCAGTCTGACTCCAGCACCCAGACTGTCTGTACTCTGCCAGTGTGCCGTGTCTTCGATGTCCCAGGCCCGTTACCCCACCTCCCCTCCCCGGCCTGGGGCACCATGGACACACACTCCTTCTCCACAGCTGAAGGAGCAAACAGAGAAAAATTCTAATAACTTATCTTGTCATCTTGAATAGGCCAATTACCTTCTCTTTCCTTCAGCTGCCGCATCTATAAAATGCTAACATTGATTCCACTATTCTAGACATTTTTTAAAAAATTTATTTATTTTTTTTGAGAAAGAGTCTCGCTCTGTCACCCCGGCTGGAGTGAAGTGGCATAATCTCAGCTCACTGCAACCTCTGCCTCCAGGGTACAAGAGATTCTTCTGCCTCAGCCTCCTGAGCAGCTGGTACTACAGGCACGTGCCACCACACCCAGCTAATTTTTGTATTTTTAGTAGAGACGGGGTTTTGCTATATTGGCAAGGCTGGTCTTGAACTCCTGACCTTGTGATCCACCCACCTCAGCCTCCCAAAGTGCTGGGATTACAGGCATGAGTCACTGCACCTGGCCTATTCTAGACATTTTGAACCTACTGTGTGCAGGTGCTCTGCTTGGGTGATGGAGAGGATGGAGATGAACATGACAGCTGAAGTAACTCCCCTCACAGTAGTCATGCTTGAGTGCAGGAGACTCACAGTTAACTGGCAATCAGAGGCACAAAACAGCTTGAAGTCCTGCTCCTCCTTCTCCTCAGAGGGAGTCAGGAAAGGCCTTCTAGGTGAGGCCTGAGGGGGAACAGGAGGCCAGGCACAGGTGGGGGTGCGCTATAAAGGGGAGAGCTCTAGGCACAGGGAAAGTAAGTGTGAGTGTCTGCAGTGAGAAACGATGGGAGAGAAGTTTCAGGAATTGTATGGCCGAAGCCTGGCCTACAAGAAGAGAGAAGAGACATGAGACTTGGGGGGAGAGGCAGTTTTCTAGTTCTTATAAAGCTCCTGGACTTGGGGGGCAATAAGGGTCGTGGTGATTCTTAGGCTGAGGTGTAACAAGATCAGGTTTGCATTTTAAAGATCACAGCATGGCCAGGTGCAGTGTCTCATGCCTGTAATCCCAACACTTTGGTAGGCTGAGGCGGGTGGATCATTTGAGGCCAGGAGTTCAAGATCAACATGCTGAAACCATGTCTCTACTAAAAATTAGCCGGGTGTGGTGGTGTGTGCCTGTGGTCCCAGCTACTTGGGAGGCTGAGGCAGAGAATCACTTGAACCTGGGAGGAGGAGGTTGCAGCGAGCCAAGATCGTGCTACCGTATGCCAGCCTGGGCAATGGAGACTCTGTCTTGAAAAAAAAAAAGATAATAGCAGAGGGGTGTGGGCTGGAGGCAGACAGGACTGGTTGTAGGAAGCAGAAGTTATCCAGCCAGGAGAAGAGGGTGAGATCTAGAAGATCTAGATGAGGTTACTGATGGGGAAAGGCTTTAAAAAAGTAATAGTGTGAGCTTTTCTCTTTACCATCATGGCCTTTCACACCCCTAGACCCTTCTAATTGCAGTCTTTACCTCATCCTTCCCTTGTTATGCCTTTTGCCTACATGAGGCCTTCTCCCACCCCATTCCAACGTGCCAGGTTTTTATGTCCTGTTTTCCACTGTGTTCTTGTTTCTAGCATAAAGATAGAGATGCTTACTCTCCTTCTGCCTTGTGTAACTGTCCAGTTTTCCCATTACACCATGTGTTTCTGAAAGGCAGGAAATTATATCTTAGATAGCACTGGCAGAACTCTGGTACATAATAGATGTTCTGCAAATGTTTATGTTTGTTGAGCACATGCATGCCCTCATTAGAGGCGCAGGACAATCTGACCTAACTACTACAGGGTTTTGCAAATGTTTACACTTACTGTGGCCTACAGCAAGAAACATATCTTACATTGCAGCCCAGTACAATGAACACATACATACCACACAAAATGGAAACGCTTCACAAAATAATATTTTCTCTAATTCTTAACATGCCCCTTGCCTCCCCTCCCTTCCCCCTCCCCTCCTCTCCCTTCCCCTCTCTTCCCCTCCCTTCCCCACCCTTTCCTTCCCTTCCCTTCCCTTCCTTTCCTTTATCTAAGACAGGATCTCACTCTGTTGCCCAGGCTGGAGAGTAGTGGCGCTATCTTGGCTGACTGCAACCCCCACCTCCCAGATTCAAGCAATTCTCCTGCCTTAGCCTCCCAAGTAGCTGGGACTACAGGCGCCCACAACCATGCCTGGTTAATTTTTGTATTTTTAGAACAGACAGGACTTCACCATGTTGGCTAGGCTGGTCTCGAACTCCTGACCTCAAGTGATCTGCCTGTCCCGGCTCCTCAAAGTGCTGGGATTACAGGTGTGAGCCACCACACCTGGCTAATTTTTGTATTTTTAATAGAGATGGGGCTTCACTATGTTGGCCAGGCTGGTCTTGAACTCCTGACCTCCAGTGATCTGCCTGCCTTGGCCCCCAAAGTGCTGGGATTACAGGTGTGAACCACTGTGCCTGGCCTACATTTACATTTGTTTATTTATTTATTTATTTATTTGAGACGGAGTCTTGCTCTGTCATGCTGGAGTGCAATGGCGCAATCTCGGCTCACTGCAACCTCTGCCTCCTGGGTTTGAGCAATTCTCTTGCCTCAGCCTCCCGAATAGCTGGGACTACAGGCGCGTGCAACCACACCTAGCAAATTTTCATATTTTTAATAGAGACGGGGTTTCAACACGTTGGCCAGGCTGGTCTTGAACTCCTGACCTCAGGTGATCCGCCTGCCTTGGCCTCCCAAAGTGCTGGGATTATAGGCGCGAGCCACCGCGCCCAGCTTATATTTACTTTTAAATGGTACTGACCAACTGAATTCATTTCATAATCTATTGAAAAATACTGACTAATGAACACATATATACTTGAATATTATTTTATGTCTTTCTTTGGGTTTTTCTCTGGTTTAAATAATATCAACACCCTTCCTCTTTCCTAAGGACTGTTTTTAAACCTTTCAATAATTTAGCATGGTCTTTTTCCAGCTTCTTGCATTGTCTCCAAACTAACACTCTAAGAAAGGCTTGGTCATTGCCAAGAGCATATGGATTACTTCCCAGCACCAAGACTTCCAGCTCCAGCTCGATCCAGCTCTTGTCCTCCATCAGTCAGATGGGCTTTCCAAATGACACAACTCCATATCCACCTGCCCTTGGGAATCTTCTATGTTTGGCCCCCAAGTAATTCGTTGTAGGATTAGAAAGGACAGCCAGGTGAGGTGGCTCACGCCTGTAATCCCAGCACTTTGGGAGGCCAAGGCAGGCAGATCACCTGAGGTCAGGAGTTCAAGACCAGCCTGGCCACCAACATGACGAAACTCCGTCTCTACTAAAAATACAAAAATTAGCCGGGTGTGGTGCACGTCTGTAATTCCAGCTACTTGGGTGGCTGAGGCATGAGAATTGCTCAAACCCAGGAGGTAGAGGTTGCAGTTAGCTGAGATCACGCCACTGCAGTCCAGCCTGGGTGACAGAGACTCTGTCTCAAAAAAAAAAAAAAGGAATCAGTCCCTTCTCATAAAGCATTTACATTCCAGTTGTAGTTTCAGGGTCCTTGTTTGTTTCCCACCTGTCTATCTGTCTGTCTCTCTCTCGACCAACCTGTGTAGAGCGTTTCTCCAAAAACACACACGTACAAGTTATTAGACTGACTTTTTTTTTTTTTTTGAGACAGAGTCTCACTATCTATCACCCAGGGTGGAGTGCAGTGGTCGTGACCTCGACTCACTGAAACCTCCGCCTCCCAGGTTGAAGCGATTCTCCTGCCTCAGCCTTCCAAGTAGCTGGAATTACAGGCGCGTGCCACTAATCACGGCAAATTTTTGTATTTTTTGGTAGAGACGGGGTTTTGCCATGTTGGCCAGGCTGATCTCAAACTCCTGGCCTCCCAAAGTGCTGGGATTACAGGCGTGAGCCACCGTGCCCGGCCTATTAGATTGGCTCTTTATTCCTGCTGAACATCTCTAGCTCTTCTTCGACTCACTTTGAATCCTGGGAGCACCACTACGTTAAATGTCTCTTGATACTAATAAGAATTTTCCTCCAAATCGCCCAATCAACTCGGGGTCCAGGAAAGGCGACCCCTGGTCGAGAGTGCGGACTGGGCGTGGTCACAGACCCGGAGCGTTCCCTCCTTCTGGCTGACACGCCGATGCAGACGCCGGAACCTCCTGCTGGCGCCTGGAGTGTCACTATAAATAACTGAGACCAATACCCGCGGAGTGACATTCCACCCCGGCAGGCCTGGCCTACAGCTCCCAGCAAGCCTCGCGCGAGCCCGCGGACTCCATCTCCCGGCGGGCCCGGCACTGCCCTGCCGGCCGGTCAATGGCCCGCGCTGAGTAGGTTTTTCCCTTTTTACCTGACAGCTGAGAATGTCTGGAAGCGGAGGGGCACTAGCGGCCTGCCTGGGAATGGGCCACCCCGAATCCCGACCCGAAATAAATGCACCAGCATGCTGGGGCGCGAAAACAGGAGCAGCCGGCAATAGCACTTTCACCCTTATCCCATTGCAGGCTCCATGTTGGCTGCCGCCCCCATCCCGACAATCCCCTCGCGCCTTGGCGGTGATTGGTGAAAAGACACATCAATCTCGTTTCAAGCTGTGACTGGAGGGTACGTTGTCAACCCCCTCTTTTCGGAACTGTGATTGGAGAGATTCGCCTACCCGCCCGACCCCCTGCTCTGGGCGGAGCCGAGTAGGAAGTGGGCCTGCCTTTTGCTCGGTGCGCCAGTGGGCTCCGAGTGACGTCTAAAGGGTGTGCGCCGTCCAGCCCTCCACGCTGTGGAGTATCCATGGTAACGCGTCAGCCGCCGACCTCGGGCCATTTTCCCAAGGCTCGAGGATCTCTAGATGTCCCGTCATCTCGAGGGCGTGTAGAACGGGCTTTGGGGGAGGAATGAACAAAAATCGACTGGGAGTTTTTTCAAAACACGTACATATACCCTGCCACCCACCCCGCTCTCCTAGGCGCGTCAGAACTGCTGGGACATCTGTCACGTCCCCGGTGATTCTGACACTCTTGTCCTACGCCTCAGCTATTGAGAACTACTGGTATGGAGGTCTTGTAACTTATCAAGGGGCGGCCTCAGATCTCTCTGCCTCGCAGATGCCTTCCTCACCCGGGTCAGAATGACTTGCCTCAGGCTCTTACCAGAGTTTGCACCACTCATTTCTTCTCTGTAATTATTTGTTTGCGTATCTGTCTCCCCACTGGGCTGCCGCTTCTTGTTGGGTACTGGCTCTGTTTTATTTATCTGTCCTCTTCCCTTCCAAATGCTTGGCCAGGAAAAGTGCCCTTTATAATAAATCGACTTGAATTGGGGGTGGTGGTAGGGGGCTGTCAATGAGAATGAATTCAGGGTGAAACTAGGTAGGACAGTCTCCCAGGATTAGTTTGGGGTTGAGCTGGGGAGCTCCAGGTGTATAGGGAGGGGTCCTATTGTGACTATGGTGGAATAGCCATTATACTGAGTGACACTGGGTGAGTGAGGTGGGGGAGAGACTAGACAACACCCCACATAACCCACCTTGACAGATGTCTCAGAAAGATTATGGGAATTTCCTGGCCCCTCTGCAATATGGGATTCCATTTTGCTACCTCTAGAAGGACAGGGTCTTGTTTTCATAGCTCTGCCTTGTGCTCAGGTATAAAGGCATGCGAGACCTGAGCTACTACTACAATACCCCACACAGAAGGAGAAAAGCAGGCACATCTGGACTCAAGTTTTGTGGGTAAGTCCATGATTGCCTCCAGTGAACAATCTGAGAAGCACGGTGTCCGTCTCTCCATTTCAGGGGTACTGGTCCCAACATCAGCCCTTGGGCCTAAGCCCTAGAGATCTTGACACCTGGTGGCTGAGTCAGCATCACAGTAATGGGCTTTAGAAGGAAACCTGATGATTCAGGGCCTCAAGAATGGCGTTGGGCAAGCCACCAGACCAGCTGCCTGGGTCTCCTCCTCCTTGTTAAGGTGACAACAAGGAACTCAGTTCAGCTCCTCCCTGGTACCCAAATTATCCTTCCAAGTCCCAGACTCAACAGCTGTCCTCCCTTGTGATTCAGCCCTGATGCTTTTCAGGGGGTCACAGAAGTTGGATCCAGACTTGAGATAATGTCACAGTTCAAAATTAAAAGGACGGAAACAGAATGGAACTTTCAGAGAACCCCAATTTTCTACTCTAAGCTCTCCAAACCAACTCTCAAATCCAAGACAGCTGCCTTTCCTTTCTTCACCTCCTTTTCTTAGTTTTCCCCAACTTGACTGCAAAGGCAGGCTCCCCTCTTCCCTTCCTTAGCCCCTCAGACCAATAAAACATGCAGCCTTTTCTTATTCTTTTTTTTTTTTTTTTTTTTGAGACGGAGTCTCGCTCTGTCGCCCAGGCTAGAGTGCAGTGGCCGGATCTCAGCTCACTGCAAGCTCTGCCTCCCGGGTTTATGCCATTCTCCTGCCTCAGCCTCCCGAGTAGCTGGGACTACAGGCGCCCGCCACCTCGCCCGGCTAATTTTTTGTATTTTTTTAGTAGAGACGGGGCTTCACCGTGTTAGCCAGGATGGTCTTGATCTCCTGACCTCGTGATCTGCCCGTCTCGGCCTCCCAAAGTGCTGGGATTACAGGCTTGAGCCACCGCGCCCGGCCTTCTTATTCTTTAAAAAAAAAAAAAAAAAAAATTATTTTTGACCAGGCACAGTGGCTTATGCCTGTAATACCAGCACTTTGGGAGGCCAAGGTGGGTAGGTGGGTGGATCACGAGGTCAGGAGTTCAAGGCCAGCCTGGCCAAAATGGTGAAACCCCATCTCTACTAAAAATACAAAAAATCAGCTGTGCGTGGTGGTGCACACCTGTAGTCCCCGCTACTCAGGAGGCTGAGGCAGAAGAATCACTTGAACCTGGGAGGCGGAGGTTGCAGTGAGCCGAGATTGTGCCACTGTACTCCAGCCTGGGTGACAGAGTGAGACTGTGTCTTAAAAAGAAAAAAATTATTTTGTTTTTTAGTTTTTGTACAGATGGTGGCTCCCTAAGTTGCTCAGGCTGGTCTCAAACTCCTGGCCTCAAGTGATCCTCTCGCCTGGGCCTCCCAAAGTGCTAGGATTACAGGTGTAAGCCAACATGCCTGGCCCCTTTACTTCTTTTCTATTTTAGTCACAAAACATTTCCCTGCTGATCACTGTAGTGTGTGTGTGGAGGGAAGTGGGGGAGGTACACTCTTAAGAAACAAAATAGTTAACATCTTGGCCCTAAGATTTGTTGTAGAGATGGAGTCTTCTCATTCTGTTCCCCAGGCTGGTCTCGAACTCCTGGCCTCAAGCAATCCTCTTTCCTCGGCTTCCCAAAGTGCTGAGATTGATTACAAGTGTGAGGCACTGCGCCCAGCTACAATCTTTTAATAGGATATTTTTTGGGGGGGAGTGGGGGGGCAGGCTCTTTCCCAGGTGGGAGTGCAGTGGCTAGATTTAGCTCACTGTAACCCATACTGTTCCAGTGTAACCTGCACCAAGCCATCCTCCCACCTCAGTCTCCTGAGTAGCTGGGAACACAAGCACATACCACCACACCTGGCTCTAACACGACTTTGCTTTTTGCTTTTGTCATTTTGGCTGCTGCTGTTTTTATCTTTCATTCATTCAAGATCGGAAGATGGAGATAATAGGAATCTTCTCATCTCAATGTGCTCTTTAGCCCCTCACTCTTAAACTGATGCCCCTCTCAGGTCCTGAGGGATTTGGCCTCAGGTTGCCCTGGAAGGGGTGTGAGTGATGAGACAGGTGACTGAGAGCTGGGACGCCTGAGGCCTGCCTAGGCTGAGTCACCTAGTATTGTTGTTGTCATTGTTCCTGTTGAAGTCCCAGCTCAGCGTCACAGACCTTTGTGGAAGCAGCAACAGCTCCCATCCTTCCAACCTTTCTGGAGAAGCTGTGGCCTGATGGTGAGCCAAATAGGCTGGGGGGGGAGAAGAGGGCGGCTGGGGCGGTGGGGAGACCTGGGGCCTGGATCAGTGCCCCTGCTCCCCATGCCACTGCCATCTCCTCCTCCTCCTTCATGCCGGGGACCTGGGGGAGGGAGGATCTCCATCTTCTCTCTGTCCCCTGCCCCTCATACAAGAAGCTCCCCCTCCTCATTTTCCCCTCCCACCCCAAGGCCCCCTTGCTCAGTGCTACAGGGGACAGGGGCTCAGCCTTGCCACAGTGCTCTCCCCACCCCAGCCACCCCCCCAACACAGGCTCAACCTGCAATGACTCCTGCCTCTGCATCTCCCTCCTGGGGATCCCACTGTACCCCACCCCTGGCCTCGGCAACTCCCCCTCCCTCACACCAGTGCCCCCAGGACTCTCCTGGGCTGCGGGTAGGCCCTTTGATCCCTGAACAGGATTATGAGCGGCTGGAGGACTGTGACCCTGAGGGGTCCCAAGACTCACCCATCCACGGGGAGGAGCAGCAACCCCTGCTTCATGTCCCTGAAGGGCTCTGCGGTATGTGTGTGGGTGGGGGTGGGGGTGGGAGCAGGTTAGTGGTGCCTGGGAGCTCCAGTACTTATCGCAGGCTGGGCCTCTGGCAGTGGGTTGAGAACATGGAGAATTGATCACATACCAGGGGCCGACACTCTCCCCTCTGTGCCCAGGCTCCTGGCATCACATCCAGAACCTGGACAGCTTCTTCACCAAGATATCCTTTGTGCTAGGCCTGCAGAGGTGGCATGGGAAGGTCCCCTTGGAGCTGGCACTCTTCTTGGCAGGGAGACTCCATGAGGGTGTCGTGGGTGGGCGATGTGTTGGGGCTGAGGGGAGGCGTCCTCAGGAGAGGCCCCCCCGTGCCCCAGGCTTGTTCCTTGACATGCGTCCACATCTACAGCTACCACCAGCGGAATGGCTTTGCCTGCATCCTGCTGGAGGATGTCTTCCAGTTGGGGTAAGACGCTTAGCCCGGGCCCGGAACTTGGTCCCCTGGGCCCATGGGTTCCTCCTGTCATTTTGCTTCCTTAATTGTACCAGTTGCTTCCATCCCACACTTTCCCAAGCAGCCCAGGGGCTCAGCAGGGGCAGGGTGGGGGAGGATAACCATGGGCTGCTCTGGGGGCCGGGGCAGGAGCCCACCTGGCTGTCCCTGATCACTGCAGCATCCTGGCATCCCCCTTCCTCCTGGCAGACAATTCATTTTCATTGTCACCTTCACAACCTTCCTCCTTCGATGTGTGGATTACAATGTTCTCTTTGCCAACCCACCAAGTAACCGTACGAGACCTGGGCCATTCCACAGCAAAGTGACCTTGTCAGATGCCATCCTACCCTCAGCCCAGTGTGCTGAGAGGTGAGTGAGAACCTGGTGGGACCCTGGGGTGAAGCATGGGAAGTGGATAGAGGAGTAGACAGGAGCCCCACTTTGTCCGGTGATCTAGATCAGCAGTTCTCAAAGCTTTTGGTCTTAGGACCAAAAATACACTTAATACACTTTAAGTTGTACTTAAGTGTATTAAGTTGTACTTAAGTTGTATTAAGTTGTACTTAAGGTGTATTATGTGTATCTTTTTTTTTTTTTTAGACAGAGTTTCACTCTTGTTGCTCAGGCTGGAGTGCAATGGTGAGGTCTAGGCTCACTGCAACCTCCATCTCCTGGGTTCAAGCGATTCTCCTGCCTCAGCCTCCCCAGTAACTGGGATAACAGGTGTGCACCACCACGTGTATTTTCTAAAGTAGAGACAGGATTTCACCATGTTGGCCAGGCTGGTCTGGAACTCCTGGCTTCGGGTGATCCACCCACTTTGGCCTCCCGAAGTGCTGGGATTGCAGGCGTGAGCCGCTGTGCCCGGCCTATTAAGTGTATCTTAATTAAAGTGTATTAAGTGTATCTTAATACAGTTAAAATTGGTTGAGAACCCTAAAGAGCTTTTGTTTATGGGAGTCGTATCTATCTACAATTTACCTTATAAAAAATTAAAATTAGGCCAGGCACAGTGGTTTACACCTGTAATCCCAGCACTTTGGGAGGCTGAGGCAGGAGGATTGCTTGAAGCCAGGAGTTTGAGACCAGCCTGAGCAACAAAGTGAGACACCATCTCTATAAAAAATAAAAATCAGCTGGGCTTGGTGGTGCGTACCTGCAGTCCGAGCTAAGCCTAGTCAGGAGGCTAAGACAGTGACTGTCTGATCACTGCAGCATCCTTACACCCTCCTCCTCCCAGCAGACGATTCATTTTCATTGTTGCCTTCCCAACCTTCCTCCTTGAATGCATGGATTGCAATGTTCTCTTAGCCAACCAACCAAATAACTGTACCAGACCTGGGCCGTTATTTGGCAGGGAGATAGGAGCTATGATTCTACTGCTGCACTACAGCCTGGGTAACAGACAGAGACCTTGTTTCAATAAAAAGGAGAAAAAGAAGGAAATCATAGCTGAGAACAACTTTAAAATGTAAGAGTGCGGCCAGGCGCGGTGGCTCATGCCTGTAATCCCAGCACTTTGGGAGGCCGAGGCGGGCAGATCACAAGGTCAGGAGATAGAGACCATCCTGGCCAACATGGTAAAACCCTGTCTCTACTAAAATATACAAAGATTAGCCAGGCGTGGTGGCGGTCATCTGTAGTCCCAGCTACCCTGGAGGCTGAGACAGGAGAATCACTTGAATCCGGGAGGCGGAGGTTACAGTGAGCTGAGATTGTGCCACTGCACTCCAGCCTGGGCGACAGAGCAAGACTCCATCTCAAAAAAAAAAAAAAAAAAAAAGTGCACGAGCACACATTTCATCAGTTGTCAGTGCGATGTGACATGTTCACGTGTCTTGTAGCCTCTGGAAAACTCCACTGCATACTCAGAGAACAAGAATGAAAACATCAGAAAGCATTAGTATTATTTGGAAGAAGTCTGACACACTTGTGAGGGCCACTTCAGCTCCCTGCCCCCGCCCCAGGCCCTACTTTGAGAGCTGCTGGTCTAGCTGGATCCCCCTCCTCGTGACACTTTTTCCTCGCTCCCGAAGTCTGGTCTGCCTGTTTCTCAGGTGCCCACCTTTCTCCCTCACTGCCCACCCAACCCCATACAGGATCCGCTCCAGCCCGCTGCTCGTCCTCCTCCTGGTCCTGGCTGCGGGCTTCTGGCTGGTCCAACTGCTTCGCTCAGTCTGCAACCTCTTCAGCTACTGGGACATCCAGGTGTTTTACAGGGAGGCCCTGCACATCCCCCCGGTAAGCTGGGTGGCTGTGTCTGTGCGGAGGGTGCCATGAGAGGGTGGACAGAGGAGAGGGGAAGAAGTGGGACTGTACAGATAGAAGGGCCAACTGGAAAGAGGGCAGAAAGAATGACGCCTTATTGACACCTGCTCTAAGCCCAGAATAATGTCAGGAGGGGGCTACCACCACTTAGAGAGCATGGCCCTTACCCTAAGGGAGTTTAGTTTATTTAGATGGCTCATATAAGATGACATATAGTTACATGTTTGTGCTAAAAACATTGCTTAGAGAAAGGACGGTCATCTGACTTTTCAGAGCTGGAGACATTTGGGTTGGGCTTGGAAGGGCAGGACAGGAGGGGAGGGGAGCACAGTCCAAGCCCCAGTGCAGGAAGGTGGGGAAAAGCCATGAGCTTTTGGAGGCTGCAGCAGGGAGATGGACCCCACCAGCCTAAAACAGAGCCGTCAAAGCCATCCCCCCACCATTGCAGGAAACCACTGCATTGGCCTGTCACTGTCCTCTGCTTATGCTCTGCCCTTTGTTTCCTCGCTATCTTGAGTTTGCTCCTCCCTCCTCTGTATCTAAGTTCTTTCTTTGAGGCACAGCTCGAAGGTAGCCTTCTGCAGCTTGCTTCCCTTGCTCCCCTGGGAGGTCCGGAGCCCTCTGCATAGCCTTTATGTGCAGCAAGGGGAGAGGTCTTAGAAGGCCCCTGAGCCGGGGGGAGGGAGGAGGCCAGGGAAGTAGAGGTGGTGAGAGCGGAAGCTGGACCTCAGATCGGCTCTGGCAGGAGACTGCTCACCCGTCTCGTTCTCTTCTTCCCTTCTTTCCCCTTCTCCCCTGTTCCTTCCAGGGGAAGGGAAGGGAAGGGAAGACACTGGGATGGACTGGAGAGGCCAGCCTGGGGGACTTGACTAACCTGGACTGGGAAAGCTGAGTGAAACTGGGCTGAAGTGAGGTTTGCAGCCTCCAAATGAGATCTGACAGTGCCCCACTGCCAGACATGGACATAGCCCAGGTCCTGGGAAGGCTTCTGGTGACAGAGCTGAAAATGGCGCAGAGTTAGGTGGGACTGGGAGTATAAAGCATGCCCAGGCAGAAGGTGGGGAGGATTCTGTTCCAGAGTTGGTGGGTGCACCGGAAACGGGAAGGAGAGGTTCTCCCATGAACTGCTGGACTTTCTGGTTTTTTGTTTTGTTTCTTTTGAGACAGGGTCTGGGTCTGTCACCCAGGCTGGAGTGCAGTGCTGCCATATCAGCACACTGCAGCCTCTGATCCCCAGTAGCTGGGACCACAGGTGCACACCACCACACCCTGCTTTTTTGGGTATTTTTAGTAGAGACAGTGTCTCACCATGTTGCCCAGGCTGGTCTCGAGCTCCTAAGCTCAGGCAATCTGCCTGCCTCAAGTTCCTAAAGTGCTGGGATTACAGGTGTGAGCACCGCCCCCGGCCAGCCATTCTGTTTTGTGTGTACAACTGGCGGGGCCTTAGGCCCTTTAAGGAGCTGAGAAGCTAGGTCCAACACCCGGAGGCGTCGCCAGGGAAGACATGACTACTGGCCACATGAATGGCAGGGATGATGAGGAACAGGGCAGTTTAGAAGAGGATGAAGGAAGTAGGGTGTGCCCTTTTTAGTGACAGGGTTAAGGGAGGGCAGAAAGGGAAAGGTGGGAGAGGGGGACGATGAGGCATGTAGCTTGGCCCTGGCGAGTTTGTGGTCACAAACTCAGTTTGCGGGTTTTCAGGCCACACACTTAGGGGTGTGGTGCTTGAGCATCACTGTGTAGAGGAATGGGGGTCGCTGGCTCTCATCAGTGCCTGTTTCAGGAGGAGCTGAGCTCGGTTCCCTGGGCAGAGGTGCAGTCCCGCCTCTTGGCGCTGCAGCAGAGCGGGGGCCTGTGCGTGCAGCCGCGGCCCCTGACGGAGCTGGACGTCCACCACCGCATCCTGCGCTACACCAACTACCAGGTGGCGCTGGCCAACAAGGGCCTGCTGCCGGCCCGCTGCCCGCTACCCTGGGGAGGCAGTGCCGCTTTCCTCAGCCGCGGCCTGGCGCTCAATGTCGACCTGCTGCTCTTCCGCGGTCCCTTCTCGCTCTTCCGCGGGGGCTGGGAGTTGCCGCACGCCTACAAGCGCAGCGACCAGCGGGGCGCCCTGGCAGCGCGCTGGGGGCGCACAGTGCTGCTGCTGGCCGCCCTGAACCTGGCGTTGAGTCCACTGGTGCTGGCCTGGCAGGTGCTGCACGCCTTCTATAGCCACGTGGAGCTGCTGCGGCGCGAGCCCGGCGCGCTTGGGGCGCGCGGCTGGTCCCGCCTGGCGCGCTTGCAGCTGCGCCACTTCAACGAGCTGCCGCACGAGCTGCGCGCGCGCCTGGCGCGCGCCTACCGCCCCGCCGCAGCTTTCCTGCGCACCGCTGCGCCCCCCGCGCCCCTGCGCGCGCTGCTGGCCCGCCAGATCGTTTTCTTCGCGGGTGCACTCTTCGCCGCGCTGCTTGTGCTCACCGTCTACGACGAGGACGTGCTGGCCGTGGAGCACGTGCTCACCGCCATGACCGCTCTCGGGGTCACCGCCACCGTGGCCAGGTGCGACGGCAGATGCCCGGGGAGGTGGTGTGTGTGGGTTTCTCTGATTTGGGGCCATGGGAGGTTCCCCCGCTTACCTCTCCCACCACTGGGGCCCTCCAGCCCTGCATCCCACTGCGCGTCCTCCTAACCGCAAGCCCCTTCCCCGCACGGATCCCGCCTTTCAGGTCTTTCATTCCGGAAGAGCAGTGCCAGGGTCGTGCGCCGCAGCTTCTACTGCAGACCGCCCTGGCCCACATGCACTACCTCCCGGAGGAGCCTGGCCCCGGTGGCAGGGACCGCGCGTACCGGCAGATGGCGCAGCTGCTGCAGTACCGAGCGGTGAGGGTGGGCGCGACGGCTGAGGAGGAAGTTGTGGGGTCTGTCTGCGCAGAGGGCATTGGACAAACGGGCTACCCCAGAAGTCTAGGGAGTGACTGGGTGGGGAGGCTTCTTGCCCTGGCGAGGGTCGCTGAGGGCTGCTTGGTCCTGATAACGTGCGTGGGCCCCTCAGCGACCCCTGCTCAGCCTCACCGCTGCTTCCCCAGGTCTCCCTCCTAGAGGAGCTCCTGTCCCCGCTCCTCACCCCGCTATTTCTGCTTTTCTGGTTCCGCCCTCGTGCCCTGGAGATTATCGACTTTTTTCATCACTTCACTGTGGATGTGGCTGGGGTTGGGGACATCTGTTCCTTTGCCCTTATGGATGTGAAGCGCCACGGCCACCCTCAGGTCAGAGCTGTTCCCTGGCCCTGGGGGGTTGGGCTGGGTGGGCGTTTGCTTGCCTCTCGGAGCAGACCTGGGTTCCAGCCCTGGCGCCATTGCTTGCTACCTGTGCCGTTGAGCAAGTCACTTCCCTTCCCTGTGCCCTTGTGCCCTCATCTGTCAGATGGCGACAATGGCAATGTGCCCTCCAGAGCACAGCCAAGGCCAGGCTTGTGATGACACAGATAATGTCTGTATAGCCCATAATGGAGTTGCTGGCACATAGTAACGTCAGTAAATGAGAGCAAAGACCACCCGGGGACGAGGAATGGGCTTGGCCCATGGGTGGGGCTGAGTAAGGACTGGTGCCTGGACCAAGGCTGTCAGGATCACCCTGGGCAAAGCACTGAGGCTCAGCCCTATCCCCGAGCTGGGTCTAGACCCAGGTTCTGCTCCGCTGTTGTATTTTTGGGTGAGGGTGAACAAGTCCCCATTGTGGTCTGTTTCCTTCACATGGAAGATGGGGCAGTGTTTCCTGTCTCACCTGGCCCCATAAGGCTCAGTGTTCTTAGCACCTGAAAGACTGTCCTTGCTCCCAGTGGCTCTCGGCGGGACAGACTGAGGCCTCGCTGTCTCAGCGTGCGGAGGATGGCAAGACTGAGCTTTCTTTGATGCGGTTCTCCCTGGCGCATCCGCTCTGGCGCCCCCCAGGGCACAGCTCTAAGTTTCTTGGGCACCTCTGGGGCCGAGTACAACAAGATGCAGCTGCCTGGGGTGCCACCTCGGCTCGCAGCCCCCCCACCCCGGGGGTGCTCAGCAATTGCACCTCACCCCTGGTGAGTGAAAGCCTGGCCTCCCCTTCTGCCCTCACCTCCACAACTCCTCTCCAAACCCTTCCCCTCTAGCCTCACCTTAGGTAGTAACCTGCCTCACTGGCCCCCACCCCCAGCCTGCTCTCCTGCCTTCTTTAGGCCTCCCCTTCCTCCCCACTCCCTTTCTGTCCTCTCTTCTGACTCCCTCTTTGGCTTTCCCTCTCCTCTCACACCTAGCCTGAGGCCTTCCTGGCCAACCTCTTCATGCACCCTCTCCTGCCTCCGAGGGATCTGAGCCCGACAGCCCCCTGTCCAGCTGCAGCCACAGCCAGCCTCCTTGCCTCCATTTCCCGCATTGCCCAGGACCCCAGGTAAAGAGTGGAGACTGAGTTGCAGGGGTGTGGGGGCTGGGCTGATCCTCTAGGAGCGGGGAGCTGGGGCACTGTTGGGGGAATTCAGAAGGGGAGCCCTCTGGGGTGTGGCGGGAGGAGGTAATGTCTTTTGACCTGCTTCATGCTGTGTTCCAGCTCTGTGTCCCCAGGAGGCACTGGGGGCCAGAAGCTGGCCCAGCTCCCAGAACTTGCTTCTGCCGAGATGAGTCTCCATGCCATCTACCTGCACCAGGTGAGTAGAGCAGTGCCTGGAGAAATGTGGGGAGAAGGCTGGTGAATAACATGGAGACTGAGGCGGGGTAGAGTCTACGGAAGGGTCTAGCAGAGTCGCAGGAGGAGGCTGAAAAGCCCTCTGCTTCTAGTCCAGGCGCTTGGCCCTGCCCTCCTTGGGGGCGGCCCTCATTCCTTCTCCTGTCCATGCAGCTTCACCAGCAGCAGCAGCAGGAGCCGTGGGGCGAGGCTGCAGCCTCCGTCCTGTCCAGGCCCTACTCCAGCCCCTCACAGCCACCCTCGCCTGATGAGGAGAAGCCATCCTGGTCAAGTGATGGTGAGGAGGGTGGGGCCTGCAGGGGACAGAGCCTGATGGACACTGGGCATCAAGGAACGCCCAGTTGATGGCCTTTGTCACCAGGCTCCAGTCCGGCCTCCAGCCCCAGACAACAGTGGGGAACCCAGAGGGCCCGGAATCTGTTCCCTGGAGGGTTTCAGGTGACAACAGACACCCAGAAGGAGCCTGACGAGGCCTCTTGCACTGACTGAGACGACTCCTCAGGGTCAGTATTGCCCTGTGAGGGGAGGGAGAAACGACTGCATAGGTAGTTGGTTTGGAGTCAGACTTGAAGCAGTGGGAGCAATGGTGGGAATTTGGGGTGATGTGGTGTGGTCATCTCTGGAACCTAGACCCCTGCACTGCTTGCCAAGAGCCATCTCCTCCCACAGGTACCCTGGCTTCCGCAGCCACAGGAGATTGGAGGGTGGAGTGGAAGAACACAAGGAGCCATTGCTAGAGGCCCCATAGATGACAGGCCCAGGTGCTTTAGTTGGGCAGCACCTGGGAGTCAGTGAGGAACTCGCCCTGAGAAGAGAGAAAAGGTAGGAGAGGAGATGCTGATGGCATCTGGAAACAAGTCTTAGAGATGGTCCCCACCCAGAAGGGATAAGGGGAGACACCCCCAACTGCAGTGTGTCCTGGAGCAGTTGCCTGGGAAGAAGTCCTCGAGTTTCCTCAAGGTGGGGGACAGAGGTCAAGGATGAGGCCAAGCTACATGGAAGGGTGGCAGTGAGGCAGGTGGGCTTTAAGGCTGTGGATTCGTCACACTGGCGGCTGCCGGCACACTTTCAGTTCCCTGGGGCTTGCAGGGGATGGGGACTTGTGAGTGGAAAGACGAGAGGGCTGATGTTTTTGGACTTCAGCATGGGTGTGATGTCTGAGGAAGTGGGTGTGGCTCCCCATCCTGTATGAAATAAGCAGTAAAGCTTGCTCACGGCTGTTGCACATCTCTGTGACTCTTGTTTCTGGCAGCCCCCACTCCTGGCAGCTGAGTGCTGCACCTGCCTTCTCGATCACCAGCCTGAGAACTGCACGGGGGAGCAGCCCAGACTGGCTGGAAACCATGTTTTTAGAGAGCAGGGTCAAGTGGCATGTAGGACTCTCTGTCAAAAAAACGACCCCTTTCCCCGCCACATACCCACAATTGCACAGGTGAAAACAGAAATCTTGTCATTTGATAATTGTAATCCACACCGGGCGCAGTGGTTCACGCCTGTAATCCCAGCACTTTGGGAGGCTGAGTCAGGTGGATCACGAGGTTAGGAGTTCAAGACAAGCCTGGCCAAGATGGTGAAACCCTGTCTCTACTAAAAATACAAAAACTAGCCAGGCGCGGTGGCAGGAACCTGTAATCCCAACTACTTGGGAGGCTGAGGCAGGAGAATCACTTGAACTCGGGGGCAGAGGTTGCAGTGAGCCGAGATAATGTCACTGCACTCCAGCCTGGGTGGCAGAGTGAAACTCCCTTTAAAAAAAAAAAAATTGTAATCCACATGGGCTGGGTTAGGCACTTTAGTAGTTCTCGTAACATCTGGCACAGTCTCTTACAGTAAATCTTCAATAATAAATACTTGATTTAGAGATTAGAATTTACAGGTAAGATACTCCTGAGAGAGGTAAGGGGAATCTAACCTTTGCCTAAGAAACAGGAAGCGGGTAGCAGTAGGCCCTGGGGTACCGCTGCTGGGAGGGGCCTTCCAGATTTAGGCGGACCCAGGCCAGAGGCAACAGGCATACAGAGGGAAACAGGCGTTTTGCTCCTTTCTGGTGGAATAATGCTGAATCCTTGCAGCCTCTGGACAGATGTGGGAAGGCACCATCTCAAGAGGGGAGGAGCGGGGCTGGTCCTGGTCGGGCGGACCTGAGTGGGGCAGCCGCTCTCCCGGAACTGGAAGGGAAAGCCAGGGGGCTCTCAGGGGCCGTTGGTGTTGGTGTCCGAGCCGGGCGGGTCGAACGCCCAGGGCACTGCGCCCCGTAGCTGCCGCTCCTGCAAGGAAAAGCTCTGGGTGCGTATGCGGCTTGTCACCTCCTGGGTGCGCAGCGTGAGCCCGAAAATGTCTTCGTGGTAGCGTTGCTGATCCTGGCGTAAAAGAGCGCAGTGGATCAGAACCCGTCGGATACCTTGGCAGGAACCCCGCACGCCCGGGGCCTGGTCCCCGCCTCAGGCCCGCTCCCCGCCTCAGGCCCGCTCCGCTCCCAGCCCGCCCCTCCGCACCCGCAGCACGCCGATGACGTCGCCGGCCTCGTCCAGCTCCATGTCGCCCTCCGTTGCCAGGATGCGCTGCACGGTCTGCAGGACGTTGGTTGCCATGGTGACATCGCCGCAGACAAACATGTGGCCCCGCTCGAGGCACAGCACGCGGTGCACCTCCGCAGCCAGCTCGGTCCTCAGGATGTCCTGCACGTAGGTCTGCGGGAAGGCGGGGTTAGGGCGGGCCCTGGTGGGGGTGGGCGCGGGGGCGCAGCCCGGGGCTGCTGGCTGGCCCTGGGAGTGAAAGTCTACAGAGCGGGCCAGGTGGGGCCTGCATGCCCTGGGGCGGTGTCAAGAAGGGCAGAGCCAAAGGGGCGGGGCGGGGCGGGGGGAGGCGGGCCTAGAGGGACCGGTACACGAGGGTGGGCCAGAGTGTGCAGGGGTGGCTGAGTGGTCGTGGGAGGCCACGGAGGGCCATGGTTGGTGCCCTCCGCTGGATATCGTGAGTCCTCCCCTCTCTCTCTATCTTCAGGTTACCATTGCGCGCTCAGGGTCTCACACCTTGGGGTTGTCAGGTTCCCGGGAGAAGGCGGTGAGGACTCGGCCAAACACCCCGCGCTGCTGGGCGTTCTGCACCTCGTCGCGGTAGAGATGGTCGAGTTGGGAGCATCGGCAGCCAAACACCAAAGTCATGGGAGTGGGCTGCAGCCCTGCAAGCAACCCCGCGCTTGGGAAGGCCCTTCTCCGAGGCACAGTGCTAGTGGGACCTCCCCACTAGCCACCCTCGCCCAGCCTGTCAGCCCAGCGTTTTGGGCTGAAGCTATTACTTTCATCTCCAAGAGGGTGCAGAATGCTTTCACAGAGACCCTGCACAGCCCTGATTTACAGAAAGAAGGGAAGCGCCGGTGAGGTGGTGGCCCCTGGTGGAGCTGCGCTAGAATGTGCGGCTTGGGACTCAGAATTCCATGCCCTTTGCACTGTGTTACATCGCAGTCCCCTTCCCTGCTCCCACTTCATATTCTCCCACACTTTTAACTCTCCTCCCAGTCACAGCCCTCTTCTTTTGATTGACAGACTACTCTGGGCACCCTGTGCTCAATTTGAACACCTTGTAGCATCCTTAGGTCTTGGACAGACCTTGGTCAGCTCTGGCACAGTCAAGAATCCACCTTGGGCAGTTCTTCTTTGAGTCTTAGCCCTAATCCCTTCGAAAATTCTATTTTCCTTTGTCCTTAATCCAGTCAACACCTACTATGTGCCAGGCACCAGGAAGCCAGACACACAGGGCCCAGCCCTTGCCTTCGGTACCTGCCCTCCCCTTGGTCTCAGGAGCGTCTTTTCAGCTTTGTGGCCTGTTTCCTGCTCTCTCTTTCCTATTTCCTGCCTTCCAGCCCCACCGCTCTGTCCCTAGATTGTGTGACTCCTTCCAGTCAGTCCTTTAGTCGCCAGCCTCACCTTTGCTCTCAATGTCATGCAGCCGCTCCTGCCAGAATCCCCGGAAGGGGGCAATGCCAGTGCCTGGGCCCACCAGGATGCAGGGCAAGCTGGGATCAGGTGGCAGCCGGAAGGAGGGAGCCCTGGCAGGAGAGACACTCCATCAGGTCCCCTTTGCCATCCCTGCTCCCCCATTCTCACCATGCAGGGTGGGTGGAGCGAGGAGGAACCAGGCTCTCCTGATAAATAAGTTGATATTCATGAAGTCCTTAAAGCAGTGTCTGGCTCATAGGAAGCATGATGGGTTTATTAAAAGAACTCTGGGCTGGGCACAGTGGCTCATGTCTGTAATCCCAGCACTTTGGGAGGCCGAGGTGGGAGGATTGCTTGAGCCCAGGAGTTCAAGAGCAGCCTGTGCAACATAAAGAGACTTCCCATCTCAAAAACAAAAAAAACAAAAAAACTTCACCTTCTTTGAGTTCTTGGTGACACTAAGGCCAAGGGTGGTCTTAACCCTAACTAGTAGTTCTCCCTGGATTGAGTGAGGATTTAGTGACTGTAGTTCCCAGGTGCCATGCTGCCCAACATCAGACAGCCCAGGGCCATAGAGAGGAATACAGAAGCTTTCAGAAAGCCACAGGGCCAGCTGGTTTGATCCAAGCTCTGGCTCTGGGAGCTGTAGTTTCAGGGCAGGACTCTGAGTCTAAATGAATGAGAGAGTCAAAGCTTAACCAGAGTTCTGAAGTGACCTAATGACACCACATCCTTGACATGTTACAGAGCTCCTTCCTGTTTCCTGTGACACCCCTCACCAGTGACACTCCTTACTCCTCACCAAAGCTGCCACCCTGACCCTGGGCAGCTCCCCCCCGAGTCCTCCATCTCACTTACCCCCGGATGAAGCAGGGCACAGGGTCTCCGGGCTTGAGTTGGCTTAGCCACGTGGAGCAGACTCCATAGTGCAGGGGGCCCAGCCCATCTGGGGGTGGGAAGGAGAGGCCGGTGAAGGACCAGAGAGGGGCCAGTCCCACCCCCGTTGTGGCCAGGCCTGCTCCTGCTTGTTGCCTCACCCTGGGTCCTGTATGCCAGCACAGCTACAGTGAGGTGGATCTCTCCTGGGTGGGTGCTGGGTGCTGAGCTGACTGAATAGTACCGGGGTTGGAGCAGAGGCAGCTGGGTGAGGAGCAGTGGGGCAGGCAGTGCCACCGACGGGAACTGCTCCAGCACCTCCAGCAGCGTGGGGCAGCGGAACCACTTCCACTCCTCGTAGCGTCGGGGATCCTGGCAGGGCAGGATGCAGTGGGTTGGGGGCCCCATAGCCCTTCCTAGTGACCTCCCTTCTTGTCCCCTCCCCTGCTGAGCCTCTTTAGGGTTTCTCCCTCCTTAGTTCAGGCCAATAGAGCTTTCTGTAAGACCTGGAGAATACAGCCATGAATTCTTCCCTGGGGAGCTGGGTCTTAAAGCACCAGTGCATGTGAGCCAGAAGAAAGTCCCGGGGGGACCTTGCATGGAGGTTTCCTGCCCCTGGGGCTCCCCCAGTTCATCCCGTCTCTCTAGCCCCTGTGCCTTATTGGGGTGGCCCCCAACCTGACTGAGGGCCTCCAGCTCCTGCTGTTCCCTGGGCTCTTCTGCCAAGGTGCTGAGCAGCCGCAAGAGCTGAGGGCTGGGCGGGGAGGTGATGTCCAGGAAGAAGGTGAGAGCCTGGCGCAGCGTGCATGGGGGCAGCCGGGGGTCCCGCACCCAGCTGGGGGGAGGGCCACCTGGGGATGGTGCACAGCGACCTCTGAGGACAGGGCCCAGCAGAACTGTAGTAGCTGGGCTGATGTGTTTGGGTGACTGTTAGAGAGCCTGCCCTTGAGCAGCGGGGTGGGCCTGTCTGGGTAGCCTCAGTGTGTTGTGTGGGGGCCTCTGGCTGGACTGGATTGGTCTGGGCTCCTCTGCCTCTGACTCCACCCCCTTATTTTAAATAAAGCCCAGGCATTGATGTGGCAGCAAATAGCCCCATTCCAGCTCCAGAGCAAGCTAGATTGCCAGGGGAGCTTTGGAGAGGAGCCCCGAGGGAAGGGACAGCCTTTTGGTGGGGGTGCATTTGAGGGTGTGGGGATGGTCCAGCAACAAGGCCAGCCGGGCAGTGAGCAGCACAGCCAGCTCTGAGCCCGCCTGCTGAGCTGTGGAGGAGGTGGCCATCCCCCGGGGCCTGAGCTCCTGGAGGCCTGGGGTTGGGGGTGGGGCTGGGCATGGGGCTGGTGTGCCCTGTTGCATCCCAGGCTGCCCCTCACCAGGGCTGCCCTTCTCCAGTTGCTCTACTGCCACAGGCTCG